CTAGGCTAATTTTATTATTATATCTTGTATCCTTTAGGAGGGGAGAGAAAATGCCTGTTACTCGTGGTAACTCAGGATTCCAACATGAGCACCTGCCACCCGCCGCCACTGCCAAATGAGGAGCCTGACTTGGCGGAATTAAGAAGCTTGTAAAAACATTAACAGACAAGGTTCAAGGATACGAACAAGAGTTGACGGAGCTAAAGAGGCAAAAGGTAACTGAAAATGGAGATAGGGCTCATGTTGAGAGTCATGTGGGGGAAGGCAGTTCCTCCATCCTCCTGCCACTCTGAGAGATCATGAGTCTAGAAGGAAAGAAATTAGGCAGGAGGAACAGAGAGCCCCACCGACCATTACTGATGTGTGGGAAAATGTTAGGAAGTTTAACCCTCCTACGTTTGATGGTAACCTTAAACCATCCGTGGTAGAGGAATGGGTGAAAGACTCGAATCCATCTTTCGAGTAGTCACATGCACCAGCAATCAAAAAGTACAAGTAGCATTAGTGCTCCTAGTGAAAGGAGCAAGAGATTGGTGGGAGACAGCAGGGCCCAGGGATGATTCTACACTCACCTGGGAGGAATTCAAGGAAAAATTATTTAGGCATTACTTTCCATCAGAGTTAAGGTCTGAGAAGGAAGCGGAATTCCATGCCTTTAAGCAAGGGAACCTCGATGAGGACACATTCATTGCTAAGTTTCAGGAGTTATCTAGATACTCCACGTACCTGCAGTATAGGGATGATTCCGAATGGAAGGCTAAGCGCTTATTGGAGAAGGCTAGACCAGAATTGAGGGAACAATTGGCTCATCTAGATATCCGAGATTATGATGAAATGTGCATAAAACTACAAGTAGTAGCTCGCAGTAAGAAGGAGGTTGAGAGAGAGAAGAGGGTTTATTCATATAGTAGACCCCCAACCTACCCTCGACCCACCGGAGGCATTATGAAGAAAAACCATCAGGGTTCGAGTAGCTCATGGAACCAAGGAAGGCAGAAGGGTCCATTTCAAAGGGGCCAAGGACAGAGGAGCTATCATAGTAGTTATTACGGGTCACAGAGGAGCCCAACAGTATCTACCCCTGCCCCGAGTACAGCGAGCTCTCAACAGTGCACTAAATGCGGGCGTCGTCATTTCGGACAGTGCTGGGTCTGTTACATTTGTGGGAAACCCGGTCACATTGCAAAGTTTTGTGGGGACAACCAGGGCTCAAATATGAAGAACCCTTCCCAACATCCTACTGTCTCTGGCCGTGTGTTTGCTCTTACTCAGGACACCATGAACTCCCCAGATGCCATTAGAGGTAACATCAAAATCCTTCATCATGATATTGTTGCACTATTTGATTCGGGTGCTACACACTCTTTTATTTCTGAAACTTGTGTAAAGAACCTTGATTTGCCTGTGTGTATTTTACCTTTTGATATGAATGTGTCTACTCCTGCGGGAGAATCTGTGAGGACTGCTAAGGCATGCCTTAACCTAGTAGTCGAGTTTAAAAATAGGAAACAACTATGGACTTAATTATCCTACCACTGAGAGGTATGGATGTAATTGTGGGAATGATTGGATGGCTGCAAATGGTGCTATCCTAGATTGTAGAGAGAGGAGTGTGTCTTTATCTTCTTTGTCGGTGACCCCAGTCGAGACTCAAGATCATGTTTTCTTGTCGGCGCGCAAGTTGATAGATGTATGAAGAAGGGTTGCCAGGCCTACATGGTTTTCTTCTCTATCCAAGCTGAGATTGATGAAGGCGTGAAGAATATCCCAATTGTCAAAGAATTTGCGGATGTATTTCCAGACGAAGTCTCCGGTTTACCCCCAAGCGCGAGGTAGAGTTCTCAATTGAATTGGTACCCGGTACAGGGCCAATTTCTAAGGCTCCTTATCGGATGTCCCCTTCAGAGTTAGCGGAACTGAAAAAGCAAATTGAAGAGCTACTTGAGAAGGGTTTCATCAGACCGAGTGTTTCACACCTTGGGGATCTCCAGTCCTTTTTGTAAAGAAGAAGGACGGAAGCCTCCGATTGTGCATTGATTATAGACAATTGAACAAAGTAACCATCAAGAACAAATATCCACTTCCGAGAATCGATGATTTGCTGGATCAGCTTGTGGGATCCGCAGTTTTCTCAAAGATTGACTTAAGGTCAGGGTACCACCAATTGAGAGTGAGAGCAGAGGATATACCTAAGACAGCATTTCGGACGAGATATGGGCATTATGAATTCATGGTGATGCCGTTTGGACTTACGAATGCTCCTGCGGTATTCATGGATTACATGAATAGGATCTTTCGACCCTATTTAGATAAGTTTGTAGTAGTGTTTATTGATGACATTCTTATTTATTCAAAGGATGAGGAGGCTCATGGTGAACATTTAAGAATCGTCTTGCAAGTTTTGAGGGAACATAAGCTTTATGCCAAATTAAGCAAGTGTGAATTTTGGCTCCAAGAAGTAAAGTTTTTGGGCCATGTTGTGTCCAGAGATGGAGTTGCGGTGGATCCTAGTAAGATTGATGCAGTGATGAAGTGGGAACAGCCAAAATCTGTTACAGAGATACGAAGCTTTTAGGTCTAGCAGGTTATTATCGTCGCTTTATTAAGGGATTTTCGCAAATTGCGATGCCCTTAACTAAGCTAACTAAGAAGGATGCCCCATTTATTTGGACTGACAAATGTGAAGCTGCTTTCCAAGAATTGAAAAAGAGGTTAACCACTACTCCAGTATTGACTATTCCTGACCCTGTGGTGCCGTACACTCTGTACACTGATGCTTCTTTAAAGGGTTTAGGATGTGTTTTGATGCAAAATGACCGAGTGGTTGCCTATTCCTCCAGACAGTTGAGACCACACGAGGAAAATTACCCTACTCATGATTTGGAGTTAGCTGCAGTTGTGTTTGCTCTAAGATATGGAGACACTACTTGTATGGATCTAAGTTTCAAATCTTCAGTGACCATAAGAGCCTGAAGTATTTATTTGATCAAAAAGAGCTTAATATGAGGCAGCGACGATGGATGGAATTTCTAAAGGATTATGACTTTGAATTACATTACCATCCGGGTAAGGCTAACGTGGTAGCTGATGCCTTAAGTAGAAAGACTATTCATGCTGCACATTTGATGGTTCATGAATATCATTTATGGAACAGTTTTCATGATGTTCCAGTAGATGTGATTGAACATCAAATGGCCGCACTCCAGGTAGCAGACTTTGAGAGCAAATTCTGGGAAGATCTCAGAGTCTCACAGCAAAGTGATGACTACTTAAGGAATATAAGGAAGGAGATAGTGGTAGGTAAGGCCCCAAATTTTACCATCTTTGAGGACACAGTGATGAAGTATAAAGGTAGAGTTTGTGTACCTAATGATCCAAGATTGAGGAATATCCTTTTAGAAGAAGCTCATAGGAGCAAATATACAATTCATCCCGGTATAACTAAAATGTACCATGATTTGAAGCGAGGTTGGTGGTGGCCAGGAATGAAGAAAGATGTAACTGAATTTGTTTCTAGATGTTTAACGTGTCAGAAGATAAAGATAGAACATCAGAAGCCAGCTGGAACACTGCAACCGTTAGATATTCCAAAGTGGAAATGGGATGATATTTCTATGGATTTCATCACTGGACTGCCAAGAACACCCTCGAGTAAGGATGCTATTTGGGTGATAGTAGACCGACTCACCAAATCAGCTCACTTTTTGGCGATCAAGTTTACCTCTACATTAGAGAAATTTGCTGAGATATACATTAAGGAGATAGTTAGACTTCATGGTATACCCTCTAGAATTGTGTCAGATCGTGACCCAAGGTTCACTTCAAACTTTTGGGGTGCGCTACAGAAGGCTATGGGTACCAGACTGAGTTTTAGCACCGCATACCACCCCCAAACAGATGGACAAACAGAGAGGACGATCCAGACTTTGGAGGACATGTTGAGAGCTTGTGCCATTGAACTACCAGGTAGTTGGGATAATCATTTGCCATTAGCTGAATTTGCTTATAATAACAGCTATCATTCTAGTATTGGGATGGCGCCTTATGAGGCCTTGTATGGAAGGAAGTGTAGATCGCCTTTATGTTGGACAGAATTAAGTGAGAGGAGTATCATTGGTCCAGAAATTGTAGAGCAAACCACCCAGAAGATTGCAATGATTAAGCAAAAATTGCTAACCGCTCAGAGCCGACAGAAGAGCTATGCTGATAAGAGGAGACGGCCGTTAGAGTTTGAAGTAGGAGATCATGTATTTTTGAAGGTTTCTCCAGTGACAGGCATTGGTAGATCCATTAAGGCAAAGAAATTGACACCTAGATTTATGGGCCCGTATGAGATCTTGGAGCGAATTGGATCTACTGCATATAGAGTTGCATTACCTCCACAGATTGCAGGTATCCATAATGTGTTCCACGTATCACAGTTGAAGAAGTACAACCCGGATCCCTCCCATGTTATTGAACCTGAAGAAGTAGAATTGAGGGAGAATTTGACCTTTAGATCCGAACCGGAGCGAATTGAGGACTTTAAGGACAAACAACTACGCAATAAGACCATCCGACTCGTGAAGGTGATTTGGAAGGGTGGAGCCCTAGGTGATGCTACTTGGGAGACCGAGAAGAGTATGAGGCGAGATTATCCACATTTATTTGCTTAGGTACATAGTTTCTAAGCTTATCTATTAAATTTTGAGGACAAAATTTCTAAAAGGAGGGGAGAATTGTAACATCCTGATTTTTATATAATAAAGAAATTGTGGAATTTAGGTTTTGAGAAAAAAAATGATAATAATAGGAATTTATATTATTTGAGGTTATTTAGAAATAATATTATGATTAGGTATTTAATTATGAATTTAAAAATTTAAATTTAAAATCACATAAGCAATATTTAGTTAAGATATAATACATAAATAATTTTTTTATGTGTGTGTTAAAAAAAAAAAAGAGAAGGTAGAAGGAACAAAAAAAAGGGGGGGTGGAAGGTTGTTGTTTCTAAGTCCCACATTGGTTAGATGAGGGAAGAGAAGAGGTGCCTTCATGTATAAAAAGGAGGGGGTGTGTGCATTAGGAAGCATGAGAGGCTAAGATGCAATTTAGAGAAAATTGCAACTTTGGGCCCAAAGGTTTGAATAATTAAATTCAAACCTATAGTTTTTTTTAATATAATTTTGGGACTCACAATCCCATTTTTATATTATTTTTCTCTCTTCCTCTCACGTTGCTCGGCGTTTTCTCGCAAGGGGGGATTATTTTCTTTTTTCTTCAGGTATGTTCTAACTTTCCTGTTTAGATTAGCATTTAAAAATTTATTTAATTACAAAATTAATTTTATAGTTATTTTCTAAATAATATTAGCTTTCTAGTGATATGATTATTTTGTAGGATAGAGTAAATATTTTGATTAGGATTTTTCTATAGGATAGTTAATCTGATGATATGATGGATTAAAAATATAGGTTAAAATTCTTAGGGATATAGTAAATATTATAGAATATTTTCTTAAGGTTGAAACTCATGTTTAAGAATTTTTGAGTTAAAATCTAGATCTATATGGTTGAATTTATGTGGAATCTGAGATGTAGGGATAAATCTATGATTATTAAATATTTATTTAAGTATGAATAGGTATTTTTGAGGTTATAGAAAGGTGATTTGAGGCTTCAGGATAATTTTAAAATTTTTAATTTATTTTTAGATGAATTTTTAGAATGTAGAAGGATGAAATTGCGATACTAGAAGTGAATTGAGGATAAAAAAAAATAGTTCATTAGGGTACGAGAATTTTAGAAAAGAATTTGGAAGTTAAATAAGGCATAAATCTTAAATTAGTGTTAATATGGACTATAGATTTAAGACTTTCTAACTCTTTAAATTAGAGTTATTTATTTTAATGTAAAATTAATATATAGTATTGTGAAATAATTATGTAGATTATATTGACAAAGATAGTGGTGAAAAAGGAGTTGTGAAGGGGAACTTGTTATTCAAGACACAAGGTAACCATTATTAATGTGTTGTGATGAGTGTGTTTGTGAATGGTTATGTGTTGTTTTGTTGTTTGGAAAAATTATGAATTATTGAAAATAAATACTGTATATACTTGTTTGAAATTATTGCCAAGTGGGTTAAAAATTTATTTTTGTTTTATCATGATGAGATATTATTGTTCGGATATATTCCTGTTTGGATATTTGAATGATGCATGACTTGTCAGGGTATTTTAATGTATGGTGTTAATGGGAATTTCTGTTCGGTTAATTATTACCACGTGGTAAGCCCTCATTGGACCCAATGAGTGGCGTGTCGCTTGGTCCAACTCACCTTTGGCCGGGTGATTTGGCGTCCGAGCATGGTGAAAGGAGGATATAAGGTGCAGTCATGCAATTAAATACTTGTTCGGTTTGTTTGAAAATATTGTTCGGTTAAATGTTTTGTGTGCCCACTTAGCAATCGCATGATTAGTTACATCCGCATGCATCATTACATATTAATTTTTGGTTACTGAGACTTTTAAGTCTCATTCCCCGTGGTTAATATTTTTACAGGAGCGAATCCGGCCGAGAAAGCACCAGAGGTGTAATTATGGTGTATGAGACACCATCTTTTACGTTGCCTCTTATTTTGGATTATACAATGTATCTTGTGCCAACTTAGGACATATCTTGTCTATGGAGCATGTAAACTCTAATCCTTTTTATTAAATGCATTTATATGTCCAAGAGGATTATGTCTGTCCCTTTTGATTCATGACCTAATTTAAATAACATGCTATGAGGATCATGTCTGTCCCTCATGGTTCTAATTGCTTTTTGAGATATTTTAAGACCTGTGGTATATTGTCTTGGATGTATCATGGTAGAAATTTTTCTACCATGATAAGGGTATGATAAGGGTTCAAAAAAAAAATGATTTCTTGAATTAATAACTTGCGAAAAATCGGTTTGTAAATTTGAGGGTGTTACAAGGGCCACCAGAATGGCAGTGGTACAGCGTTGATTCCCAGATCGGGTTTGGCCTGAATCTGAACTCCCACGTTTGTCCGTATTTGATTCTGCTCTCCGAGATCGTCGTCCTTGGATCTGCAATGAAACGACAGATCCTCTTGGCCACTTATCAGATTCTGGACTATCACCGTCGTTTTTGACGGAATGATTGAAAACGACTCGCCACATTTCTGCGTTGCGGCAGCCATTGTTAACAGTAATAGTAGAGACTTCATTAATGGAGCCGTGTCTTGTTTCCTTCAAGTGAGATGCAACAAGTCCTTGCCATACGCCTCTCTTTTTTATGATCACTGAGAATGAGTTAATTTTATCTGGTAATGATGATCGTTGCATTAACGAAAATAAATCCTTATAGTATTTATTAGTATTAAACTATTAATATGCCATTAATGCCTTAAGTTTTGCAACGATTTTCGGACCTCAAGATTTTTGCAAATTGGATCTGCTATCTATTTATGATTTTAGATTTTTGTTCTCTCTATTCTTTCCCGGATAAAATTTCGCCTGCTACGCCCCCCCCCCCCCCCAAAAAAAAAAATCTTACTTCTTAGTCGTTACCTTTTCCGTCAAAACTTATACTCCTAAGACATTTCTTAACAAAAATTAACATTTTAAATTCATTAAAAAAATATTTCTTCAACATTATCATTTTTCTGTATTATCTGTTTAATATTCTTATATAAATAGAATATTAAATTAATGATATTTTTAAAATTTTACTCCCTTCATTCAAAATGTAAAGCATTTTTAATTAAATCTCATCTCTCAATAAAGTAGTTATTTATTTTGAAACTAACCCTATTTTTTATATTTATCTCTATCAAATACCCTACAACAAATATAAAGTCATTCATCAATAGAGACACTTTTTTAAAAAAATAATTATTACCTCAAAATATTAAAAATGCCTTATATTTTTTAATGGAGGAAGTATATTTTTATTTTGAAAAATAAAAGTTGTAAAATATATTTAATAAACTTTATTGGTATGCATGATCTTATTTGAAAATGTCTTATAAATTAAAATGAAAGTAGCACAAATTTATAATCTTGCCACAGTTGAGTAAATTATCTTTCCTGAATATTGATTGGTATTTTCTATACAAATACTTCCACTCGTTTTATTATATAAGATAAAGAGAGAATCATTTTTTATCTGATTTATATGGCATGTATTTGACTTCATTTTCATCAGAAATTTCATAACTTTTATCCCATTAAACAATGATAGTGATCGTAAAAATACATCATTAAAATATATATATATATATATATTTAATAGATCATAAAATGAAAAATTTGTTAATTTTTAAAGAAAATCAATTTTAACTCATTTTTTTTAGTTACAGTAAAACATGGAAAAAATGAATCATAAATAGGATTGGAGGGAATAATAATAAATTTCATAAATCCCACATTTATACCTGGATATTCAATTAATCGTGCTAGAAATTTTTGTTAATGTATTCAATCCAAAACGTATATTCGCTAAGAGATTAAAGATGAAAAAAATTGAAATGAAAAGAAGTAAGCTTTTTTGTATGATCTTGTAAGTCTGACCTTTTTTTCACTATCTACAAAACTAATTTAGTTACATAACTGATATTTTTACTTAATTCAAACATGCCAAAAGAATCATTTTGATAGTTAATATTTTTTTTCAACTTGTTCTCTTTTTAATAAATATGCAAAAGGAAATGGATCATATTAATGAAGAGAGGTGAGATAGTTTGATATTTTTATGAAAATTTATTTTAGGGAAAAACATTAATTATCCTTAAAAATCCACAAAATGTCTTGTATATATTTCCAGTTCCAGCACACTTTATGTTTGAAACAAGGGAGTATATTTCATGCCACGTTAGTTTCAAGGCACCTAAAAATTGAAACAAAGTTGATCGATGACAAACATAGATATAAAGGTGATTATACTAAGCATGTGATTTTAATGATCAGGGACAAGATCGGGTAATTTTGGCATTTGATGTAATAACACGGTCAAGGTTATCAGGAACAAGCGTTGACCGCGGTTGAGACTTATTCCAGGGATAGCAAACGCCGAACAAGCAAGGACCATACTCAGTTACTTTCCAAGTACACACCTTGCACTTGTCTCGTTCCTGTTTGTATATGTCAAAGTAACGAGGTTCTCCTGATTGCCACCAAAAACTACAGAAATAAAGAGTCGAATTCATCATAAGATTTGGCCTGAATCTGAATTCAAACGACTCTTCGAATTTCAGAGTGTGCTCCCCAAGATCATGATGCTTGTCTTTGCAATGAAGTGTCAAGTCCTCGTGCTTAGGCAAGGTATTGATGATTTGGACTGTTGTTTTTGGAGGAAGAAGACCTGTCTCGCCACCTTGGCACATTGCAGCAACTATGGCTGTGACCAAAAGCAGAGGCTTCAGAGATAATATCGGAGCCATGTCTTATTTTCTTCAAGTGATATGCAATGAGCTCTCACCACGTACCTCCCTTTTTATATGACTGTGAGTGGGTTAATTTTGATCCCCATCTGATCAATATTTTTACTGCATATGGTAATATTGATTACTGCATTAATGAAAAGAAATAATTATGTTTATTAGAATTAATATTTGGATATGCCATTAATGCATGCCTTGAAATTAATATGCACTGATGCTCAGCCCTCACAATTGGTGCAAATTGGATCTTTCTATTTATGCTTTTAGATTCATGTTCTCCCCAGATAAATTTTATGTATTCACCTTTGGGAACATAAAAAATATTAATTGTTTCTAAAAATTTTTTTGCCTGCATGTAATTATAGAAAATTGGAAATAATTATATTACTAGCTAGGACATATAAGGGAAAGCCATTATTAGTATTAGTGTTTAGATATGCAATTAACATTATATATGCACACAAATGAGGAAAGCTGTTAAATAGCTTAAATTAAGCTAATACAGTGGTATTTGACTTTGACATTTTTATTGTTTTTTATTAACAATCAACAATTCACAAAAATTTAAAGTAATAATAAATTGGAAAAAAACTAAAAAAACTCAAAAGGACAATTATTTTTAATTTTTTAAAGGTAAAATAAAAATATTTAATTTCTTGAAAAATAAGTAAAATGAAAGGCAGCTATTTTGAAGAGCTAAGGAGGGGGATGATTTGATTCCCCCGCCTTTTGTTTGAAAGATTCCCCACGTTTTTAGCTGATAAATGTAAAATTTATATTTGAAACAAGATAAAAGTAAAAATATATAGAAAGAGAAAAGTTTTATTTGCTTTTATAATGACTTTGGTTAATTAATACTCCCTCCGATTCAAACTGAATGAGCTATTTACAAAATTAACAAAATTAATTAAGTTAGATATTTGTGAAAAAATGTGTCTTGATTTTCCTAAAACACTCCAATTTAATCATTTATATTAAGAACTAATTTTATTGATAGAAACCCTTTTTAATATGTTATCAATAAATAAGATGAGAAAAAAATTAGGAGATAATGTAGACTAAAGTCTCACGTTTAGGACAAAATAAACCTCTCAACTAGCTGTTACATTTAAAACCCGAGGGAGTGTTATCATTCATTGTGTGATTATGAAATTAATTTTCCTTTGATGTAAATACATTAATGTTTGTAAGTTTTTCGGTTTTGTCTTTGTAAATATAATGTAATAACTAGAATATCCTCTGTGGGACTACTTACAAGTTTCAACATTTTAAATGATTCGAAAAATGAATATTCTTTTTGATCTTATTTATAAATATCACTTTTAATATATTTTATTGAAATTAAAAAAAATTTTAAATCTTATTAACTGTCTTAAAATTTAATAAATTTTTATTACTAATAAATATTCTTAAATTTTATTATTAGTATTTTTATTTAAAATATTTAATAAAATTAATATTTAATAAAAGTAAAAATATAAAGAAGAACATTAAAAATTGATAGGTGTTTTATAAATAAAATTAATTTTTTTTCTTTTCTCGTTACCCTGTTTAACTAAAGGATCCTAGCTGCCGACGATCTTCTATTGCATCCACCTCTTGTCATCATCTCAATTCAACTGAGTGAAAACTACTCGCACGCGGTCTTTCCATCATATCTTTCTTCCTCTTTTTTCAGCAAATTAAATGCCAGGTGGAAGTTCTCATTCACGAAGCCAGTTCCACTACTTCTGTCATTCACATTCTAAAGGAGATCGTTTAACTGCCTTGGCATTGGTTTTCAACGAAAACGTAAGCGCTCGTTGGTTTCCCTGTCAACTAACTCCAACACACAGACTGATTTCTACGAGATCCAAAAAAACCTCATATACTTGCACGATCTCCTGTTGGACCTTCAAGTTTACTTGCAGCCACTTGGAGGTCCTACATGCATGCAGTGCTGGTTTTTCCTGTTCGTGTCTTCATGCTGCTACTTTTTCTGTGCAAGTCTTTATGGTACGACGGCTTAGCATTCAAGCGACACCTGTTTCTTTCTTTCATTCTCTGTATAATCAAAATATGCAAGGGACTTCAAAATCCTACAGGAGATGTGTGGTAGCATTGAAGTTCAGTCTCACAGAACACAATGCATCTCTTCGCTTGCTGAGCTTTCAATGGTTATGTTCATGTTGTGTTCTCTGAACAGCTTCGTCTTGATGAGAGTCAGCTTCAGATATGTTGCTTCGTCGGGCTTCAGTCTT